ATGCAGGCACCATCCAATCTGCTGAGGGCCCAGAGAAAACAAAACAGAGGAAAAGGCACATGTTATCTGCTGGAGCTGGGATGCACTTCTGTCCTGTTCTTGAAATGAGAACTCTAGGCTCCCAAGCCTTTGGATTCCAGGACCTACCCTAGGGGCACCCCTGGGCTCTCAGGCCTTTGGCCTTGATATGAGCACTGCACCATCGGCTTTCCTGGTTCTAGGTTTCTGAGCAACATTACCAGCATCCCAGGATCTCCAGCTTTCAGTCTATCGAATGAGCCAATTTCCCTCTCATATATCTATCAACACCACACTTTTTTTTTTTAAAAATGACGCGGTAAGGGGATCTTGACCTTGACTGGGTGTTGTCAGCACCATGCTCTCCCAATTGAGCTAACTGGACATCCCTAGATAGGGATCTGAACCCATGGCTTTGGTGTTATCAGCACCACACTCTCCCAAGTGAGCCACAGGCTGGCCCCTCATATATCTATATACATATCCAATTGGTTTTGTCTCACTGGAGAACCCTAATACAACATATAAAACGAGAAGCAAGCCATGCAAGATTGTTTCTTTTCCAAAGTTTACCCTTTCTAGAAAAAGTTAGGACCCCTTGGGGTGGGTGGTGGGTGTTGGCTGCGCTTCTCACCTTGGTTTGGAAGGTTTTCTCACAATGCCAGCAGTATGGGCAGAGTCCTTTGCATGTGCTTGTCAGTGATGGATGTGGGCCTGAAGCCTTGCTCTTAGACACACTGAGGGCTGAGGAAGTGGGGTAAAAAGACTCCATCATTTGAACAAAGATTCCCTTGGAAATCAAAGAACAGGAAATAAATGAGTCAGAGCTTTTTTGACAGGGCTGTCAGGCAAGAATGCCTCTTTAGAATATAATCTAGGTGGTTCCAGCCCAAGTCCCATCCTTCCTTCACAGCCTAGTAGGCTAATGAGCCAAAAATATCCTTGAATATGGCCCTCCAACCACATTTGCCTTGGACAGTGTCACAGTTTGGGGCCTGAGGCAGGTCTTGGTCCTCCCCTGGTTTGATGAAGGGACAAATAACAGTAAAGAGGTCAACCTTGAGCTGTGTGGGCCTAGTGATTAAAGCTCTTGCTTTGCTGTTTAAGTTGGCACCAAAGTCTCATCCTCTTAAGGCTGCATCATTTTCCTTTTTCATATTTTCTCATAGTAAGAATGTTGAATTGTCCCTAGTATGTGTCACTGGGTACATAGTTCCTTCCTATTGAGAGTTATTTTACCTCTGTGTAGGCATCTGCAAAACAGGGATGATGCCTACTTCAGTCTTTATTGGAGGATTCAGTGGAAAAACTAATGTCTGTGAAAGTACTGGCACTTAGTGGGCTCTCACTACTTCATTCCTGCCCTAGTTTCCCTTTGAGCACAAGCTAGAAGACATAACTTTTCAACTAATTTGGATTTATACAAAAGAAAAACGAGTGCCCACAATCACCCCACTCAACCAGGCTCCATCCCCAGGGCTGGTTGGTTTAAATTGTGGAGCAGGGCTTAACATGTAACTTGGCACCCATTAGGTTCTAAGTAAATGTGGTTGACTGACAGAAAAATGGTAGCAGGCACTGAACAATGCAGCACCACCAAATGCCAGGCTGCTCTGGATAGGGGACAGAAGCAAAACTTTCAGGGGAAAAGGATCACCAGATGACAAACCTTAGCCAAAGCTCATGTGGTCACTGCAGGCCCCCACTCCCCCCAACACTAGGTGCCTTGGAACCCCTGTACTGCCTGACCGGGGGGTCTGGGGCTAGAACAGCTTGAGGGTAGGTTCCTGTCACCTTGAACATGGCCTTTGCTCTAGTGTTATGTGGCAGGAGGCTTGTCCCAGAGTTGTGTCCTGTAAAGTGACTAAATTCCTCATCACTCTGGCTGTGAATTTTGGGTCTCAGCTGACAGAAGCCCCCACGTCCCCTTAAACTAGCAGTTTTCAATATCTCAGGTGGCAAGACTACAACTCATGTTTCCGTCTACCTTTCTGTATTTACCAAATTATTTTTTATGCCTATTTTCTACTTGTACAGCAAAAAAACAGAACTATTTAAAGTGTCCCAAAGGACTCAGAGCTTGGAACCTGGAGGTCCTCTGCTGTCCTGTATGCCTCTTGCCCAGGCCTGTACAGGCATAGTCAGAGGCTATCTGGAAAGCAGTTTTCAATTTTTGGTTTTAAGTTCCAATCTTTGGTATGTATATTGCTACTCTTACAGCCTGATCCCTGACTTGATCTTGAGGGAGCCACGTGGCCTATTCTAAGCTGCTCTGTGCAAAAGACCCAGCTCTTGTCAAATGCCAGAGAGGGAAATTTCTCCCACAGACAAGTTCAAACTCACCACCATCAGGCCCCAGTACTGCCCTTGCTGATCTT